TTTTTTTTCACCACCTAGAATACTACATACTTCCTTGTTTTTTGTCCATGTATTCATCAGAGGGCCCATCCAGTAATAGTATAAACCCCACAAGGGCAGGGAGTTTGCTTATTTAATTTTCTGCTCTCTGCCCAGAATTTGATCATGTCTGACACATAGTAGACACTCAATAAATACATGAAAGTTCCTAAAACCCTTCTCCAGTTCCCCCTGAGAATGCTTAAGCCCACTGCCTGTCCATTACAGACAAACAACTCAATTGTAAAATTTACCTTCTGATTCATGACTGAATGTCATGGCCTTTCTTGTCGCTGATTAAAAGAGTTTAGGTATTCTAACAAACCCACTAGCTATTTCCACCTTGGTTCACGGAGCTAGTTTGTCTTTCTTTTCCTGTAATGAATTTGCACATCTTCTGCCTCTGTGTGCACGTGTCCACAAATATGATTCAGGTCCCAAGGGAGTAACTGTTCCAAGAGCTCGAGTTCTTAAAAAAAAGTCCCCCATTTCTTTAAAAATACATAATTGCTGCCTCTCCTGAAATATTTTTACAGTGTGTCCCCAGAGGAGGAATTCCAGCTGATGGCCCAGTGCAGGGCAGAGGCCCATAGACAGACTGTCTGGCTCCAATTTACGCTCTGCGCTTACACGGCTAATAGGCGTTAGTATTTTGATATAGAGAAGTGCTGTCCTTGATCCTGACTTGGTTATACACTGATCACATCCGGCTGAAAAGCACACAGTTAAGGGCCAAGAGCTACTCATTTTCTTCATCTCCCCTCTGTCTCTGTTTCTGTCTCTGTATCTCTTGTCTGTCTCTCTCTCTCCAACAAATGTCTTGGGAATCGTTTCAGTATTTTCGTAGAACGCTACACAGAGTCAATTTAAATTGGCAGAGGTTCAGTTTGCCCCATAGGAAACTCTGCTGTAGACACTTTGAACCGGTTGGAACTGTTATGCATGTATAATACGTATCAGAGCTACCACAAAACCCTGTTACTCACTTTATTATCCCACTTTTCCCCTCTATCCAAGTTTTCACTGTCACTTCATTGCAGACCCTAAACTCAACACTCACTACAGTTAAACTGAGGAAAGGCAGTAACCCTTGATTCATAAGGTGCCCATAATTCTACAAACATCTAATGAAAATGAGCAAACATCTCTGTATAAAAGTTGGCTTCAATCCAGAAGTATGTTTAATTCTCAAATGCCTGATAAAACCGTGGGATTGCAGGCTGCGGCAGCTCCTGCCCAGTGCTCTGCAAGGGAGAGGGTGTCCCACATGACAGCGACACCCACCAACTTCCTGCCCATCTTTCTTGGATTCCTACATCTGGGGGTTCTTTAGCTGGAAAATGGGGTGCTGGAATCTTGCTTACTTAGAATTAGCTATCCCAGTGACTTAGTAAACTGGAAAAAGAAAAAAAAAGTAAAACCGGATATTTGAAAGTAAGCCCTCACCTGATGTTCTCTTAGAAACAAGATCAGCACCTCTTACAAGCACAGCTTTCCTTGGCTTGTGGCGTGGCTCTTCCTAGCCGTTCTGTGTCAAGCCTTCGGCATAGGTGACAAAACACCTCCCTTTCAACAGGTCTTAGCAAAATACAGCCAGTTCACACTCAGGCAAACCTCAAACTGAAACTTCCCCGGTTAACCAATGAAGTTTTGCCAAAATGCTTACTAAGTCCTGGCTCTAGGAGCCTGTGTGATGTGGAATCGCCGGAGCTCAAGAAACAGATAACTGCCCCTTCCTTTGCCGTGGGGTTGCGTTCCAGTGGGGTGCTCAAAAACAGTTTTCATCATGTCATACGCTATGCTTCTTTGTTAGAGAATTTTTGTTGATTTTCTAAAAATTATGTTTGTTTGTGTGCCTCTCAGATGCACAAAATGCATTCTTCATGGTTTTTCCTATCACTGCTTAGGTAGCATAGAGAGTTACGTGCTACAGAAGCGTGGCATCGGTGAAAGTAACAATCAAAAAGAAACAGTACGTTTTCTCCCATCCCCGTAAATCTGATCTGTAAATGCAAAGAATGTGAGGCATTGAACATAAGAAATTGAAGAATTTTATCTAAAACTTGAAAAAGAAAAATTGGCATATCATACGATAAGACTTTAACCAATCTAGTCTCAAGAAGGAAAACCTTTTATAGAAGACATTTCTGAACCCCCATCTGAAATATATATCTTTAGGGCAGTAATCATCAGAAACATAACAGAGTCCTGTGGAGCTCAGTTTTATTGTCTTGCATCAGTGAACATTCCTCAAAAGCATAGAGCATCACTAATGGAATTATATGTTTTCATGCTATAATTACATTTGATTTTTCCTGATATTTCTGTAGGCTTTTTGTTCATGGTTCCATGACTAGATGGAATATTTACAAGTTTTCTGTGTCCTCAGCCTATTCAAACCCCCCACCCCCATAACAAAGAGAGAGGGAGTCTAGAAATAGGAATTTTTTACAGGAAGAAGACACATGTATATTTTTAAATTTTTTTACCTCCAGAGATTTTCTTTCAGCAACAGCAACAAAAACATAAACAACAACAAAAAGAAATAAGAAAAAAGAATTTTATATTTGAAGGAAACAGAGCAAGAGATCCCTCTGAGTTTTGAAGCTCCTTGAGACACACAATGGGCACTTCATATTTTTGTTTTCATTCTTGAATGAATACTTGTTGGATAAAATGGAATTTATTTGATCTTTGGGTATGTTGCTCCAAATGATCCTGTCACTGGAATACAGATGAATCTAGCATAGAGTCATACTGACTGGAGGACATAACACCGAGATGCCATCAAATATGTGAACCAGGGCTTCCTGGTGGCGCAGTGGTTGAGAGTCCGCCTGGCGATGCAGGAGACACGGGTTCGTGCCCTGGTCCGGGAAGATCCTACATGCCGTGGAGCGGCTGGGCCCATGAGCCATGGCCGCTGGGCCTGCGCGTCCGGAGCCTGTGCTCCGCAGCGGGAGAGGCCACAGCAGTGAGAGGCCCGCATACTGCAGAAAAAATAAATAATAAAAATTTAAAAAATATGTGAACCATGAGTCTCTGTTTTTGAGAAGAGAGAACGTCTAGCTATGAAATCCACAGAAATCTCCAAGAAAGAGACGTAAACAGTTGGAAAATTATGTTGACACCCAGCATACTATGATTGTCCTCTCATCTTCTCCCACATCAAGTCTTAGCTTTGCTCAACATCTCTGTGACCTTCTCCTCTCTCTCCTTCTCAGCACTCAGTTCCTATTCTGTAGGTTTTCATCACTACAGAATAAGAGGCTGACATTCACTTCAAACATGGTTACACTCTAAGGTTTCCCCCCTCAAAGCATTATGGAAGTACAGAGGGAAAAAATTGGTTGTTGCAGTATAGGTGTGGCATAAAGAGGGTCTTCTTCTTGCAAAGTCGAGGAAGTTAGGGGGTGTTTATGAATACTGCTTGACCTGACCTGGGTTGCATATTCTTATCATAAATTGAAGTAACGTTAGCATTACATTTCCCCAAGTTTAAATACATTTCTTGAAACGCCATTTATTAGAACATTGAAAACACAAGTTTGGTTCTCTGTCCTCACATCCCTACAGTCTGGCTCCTGGCCCAGCCACTCAACCCAAATCACCCTCTATGGTCTTCCAAAATAACTTCTCAGCCAAAACCAATAATATCCGTCTAGATCTGTCAGCCTTATTTGAAACCATTTTCTTCTCCCTGCCAACACCCATTCTGGTCTCAAATTCTGAGGATTTGTCCCTTCCAGGTTTCCTCTTTTCTCATCTCCAGAGTCACATCCAGAGCTGTTCTCCTTTAGAGATATTCCAACTCTGATCATTTTAAACACAAGGTTTGTGCATGACTTATTTCCCTAGCCCTAAAATAAAGGTCTTACTTTTAAAAATAAAGTCTTACACCTCTCTCTTCCAGGCATTCAACTGTAATTAACTGTGATAAAGTACCAACTCTGGTCTTCATTCTCAACTCCTTGCTGCTGTGTAATCTCTTAGTTTCTATAAAGAAAAATTAAGTCACTTTGACTTTTTACTAATCCCCTTACTTTCATTAGACTTCTAGATGTATATATTTTATTTTTATACATTTCTATATTATATTTACTCAATTAATGTTCCTTTAGCCATACTCCACCCTTCCGTCTTCATCCCTAGTCAAATGAAGGTTAGATCAGACTCTACACATATTCAGATAAATATTGCCTGTTGATCAAAATACAATTAATAATGAAGTTAGAGCTGCTCTGCCAGCTCTTTCTATCCCACCTCCAGACGATATCGTCTGCTCTTGTCCTACAAACATCCAATAGACCTGCTTTTCTCTCTTTTCTACTTATTTGTTGTCATTCTTAAAAGGACGTCCTTTTCTCTTTGTAACAGATCTGCTCCATTCTTCAGTGTCCCATCCAAGTACCTTTCTCCAAAGGACTTTCCATGGAGTATATGTAAACTGGGTCCTGTGAACTAGCTTGCTTCCTTCCTCCTCCTCTCATGAATGTATAGCTTTATGTGAAAATGTATCTAAGTCATTTTTCTGTGCATATAAAGTTCTGTAAATTCACAGATGTAGCAGTATATTTAATATGTTGTAGATAACCCTTTAGAAAGGCACCTTTTCTGATAATTGGGAAATCTTTTGCATCTTAGGTTAAAAACCCAAACAGGGCTTGCCTGGTGGTGCAGTGGTTGAGAGTCCACCTGCCGATGCAGGGGACACGGGTTCGTGCCCCGGTCCGGGAAGATCCCGCATGCCGCGGAGCGGCTGGGCCCGTGAGCCATGACCGCAGAGCCTGTGCGTCCGGAGCCTGTGCTCCGCAATGGGAGAGGCCACAACAGTGAGAGGCCTGCGTACCGCAAAAAAAAAAAAAAAAAACCCAAACAGTCTCCGCCTCCTTACCCCCTATAGGCATATGCACTTAAGATAATTTTAATAATAACTGTGGTTACTGAAAATTTACTTCATTATATGTGCATTTCCTTTTCAGGATCCCCCCATGGCTGTAACCCTTGGACTCCGAATGGAGGAGATGATTTTTAATCTTGCTGATACACATTTATTTTTTAATGATTTAGAGGTAAGAATTTACAGAGCTAAGAATAGTTGTATCAAACTATTAAAACTCTTATATGGTTTCTATATATGCAGATAACCTCACGAAAACCAGAAAGATAGAAATTTAGCTCAAGAGAACAGTAAAGTTCCTGTCAAGGGAAGACATTGTATATGCAAATATAAACAAAAGCGAAATTGTATTAATGAATGATACATATTTACTGGTGCATATTTAGAACAAAAAGTGTCTCCAAAAAGGTCTGCTTTGACGTCATACCATACACCCCTGTCCACTACTCCTGGTCCTTTTGGTGTCTCAGCCACAATTCATTCCATCTTTGTATCAGCATTAGCTTTTCCAGGTTACTAACCAGGATGCAATTTAGGTTAATCACTGCACAGTAGTTAGTCACAGATACTGTTCCTGGTTCTAGCATGGATCATTAATTTTTAAAATTTTTTTATTGGAGTATAGTTGATTTACAATGTTGTGTTAGTTTCAGGTGTACACCAAGGTGGTCAGTTATACTTATACATATATCCACTCTTTTTTAGATTCTTTTCCATATAGGTCATTACAGAGTATTGAGTAGAGTTTCCTGTGCTATACAGCAGGTTCTTATTAGTTATCTATTTTATACATAGTAGTGTGTATATGTCAGTCCCAATCTCCCAATTTATCCCTCTCCGCCCTTATCCTCTGGTAACCATAAGTTTGTTCTCTACATCCGTGAATCTACTTCTGTTTTGTAAATATAGATAATCTGAAACCTAATTCTAGACATTATCATTCCCTATTTCTTCCCCTTCTGGATAAAACCATCAAGAGCTATTTACATAGCACTTCTGACTGGTTTGATTGCACTTATTTTCTCTTTTTTCCTTAATTCATCTTTCCATTTCCAACCTCAAATGAAGAGAAAGTAAAAGCAAAAACAACAAACTAAAAGAACCCAAGAAAAAATAGCCTCAGGGTAGCTAAATAAGTACTGTAATAAGGTATATAATATGAGCGCTAATGATCTGAGTTATTAGGCATTCAGATGATAAAATCTGAAATAACTGAGTAACTTGGGCACTGGACAGAAGTTCTTCTCTGTCAAGAACAACTATGCTGAAATAGATTTCTCTTTCTTTTTTTAAATGACCCATTCAAATTGATTTTTTATCCCATGATTTCACAATGAACTTAAAGTGTTTATCTATAATCACATTATGAGTGAAGATGGGGATTATTATTACTGAATCTGCTCCTTGTGTTTGACATTTTATATTGGGCTTTCCATTAATTAATTAACAAACTTTTGGAATAAATATGTTTATCACATTATTGTTGTAGAGAAGAAACTGTAGGGCTCACCAGCATAAAAATCATTTCTAAGGCTACCTGCTAACTGATAGAACTGGGATTTGAAAGTCTGGAGTTTGTCTGTCTCCAGAACACATACCCTGTCCCCATACCATGCTGAAATTAACAGACGTGTGCAAGGAAAGTAAGCCAAGTTAGTGCTTTGAATAAGTTTTTTTTTCAATTGACAAGGTCTTCAACCCAGTTTTAGTTACATCTGAGGCATGAGTAAAAGATGTGTTGTTCAGTATATCCCATAAACATATGTGTTGGAAACCTGTGTAATCGCATTTTTTTTCTTGTTCTCTCTGCAGTGAGTCATTGTTTTTACTGGATAATAAAATTTAAATTCTGTTTAAAGAGGTTTTATTTTTTTCTTCAAGAGACACTATGAAAGATCAGTATTCTTGGGCAAGTCTTCCAGTTTTAGATAATAAGAAGTAATAATCACCTCTCTAAAACCTGATTTAAATTAATCTTACTACTTATTACTGTCTACTGTATAGAATTATTTTATATATACACAATAATAGGAAACACACTTTAATCTTTTGGGAACTTGAATTTTTTATACATATATGGTGATAACTTTTTAGGTTGATTTTTCTGTTGGGTAAAATGGACGAGTCTCATTCTAAAAAGAATTCTAAGATTATTACTCCTCTCAAGCCTGTAAAACACACAAAAAAGAAGTTTGATATGGTTTTATCCAAGTTTTACAGTTTTATTTCATTTCATTTATTATTTTTACTAGAAATAAATGAAATAAATGACTCTAGGTTCTTAGTGGCACATTAGAAGCCAGATGGAATAAATTTACCATCCAACTTCTAACAGAACACTAAAGTGAGAACATATGATGAATTTGAATATAACTTTATATTGATGATGATGAATTTGAATATACCTTTAGCAAGTTTGACGTGAATATTGGCATATCAGAAACATGTGGTCAGCTATGGTGCTTTAAGAATTTTTATTTTGGATTTGATACTATATAAAATATATCTTTCAAATACCCAACAGGATCTCAGGTAGAAATAGTAACTGAGAAAATATTGGTATTGACTTTCTCGTCTATGTTTATAGCTTTTTAGTTGTGCTTTAGAATGTGATAAAAATTCCATTTTACTCAAACACTAAAACTTAGTATCCAACAATAATGTACTAGATCAATGAAATGATTTGGTCTCTGCATAGAAGCTGAGTTCTCAGATGTGCACATACCCATGTGCACACACATCCAGGTGCCCAAGGAAACTCAGAGGTTTATACTAACTTAGGTGAGATAAACAAACAGTAAAACTAATAAAATCTAAACAATAGCTTTCAAGGTCATTCAGTACAGTTACATACATATCCACTATACTTCTGTATCTGATTTTGAAACTTTACTTTCTCCCAGTTTTTTATTTCAGTAAACCTCTTATAAGCAAAGATTGTCATGAGCTTCGTAACTGGTATTAAGCTATGTCTGCTTCTACTGACAAAGAGAATTCCTCAGGAGAATAACTTCATCATTAGCCTATTATGTGATTTCCCCTTGTGTATTTAATCTCTCAGGGTTCCTTTTCTTAACCTAAAAATCTAATTTGAGACTCAAATCCTTCAATAGATACTGCAACATATGTAGTAGCAGCTGCTCACACATAATTCCTTAAAAGATACAAATTTAAATCCTCTTAATAGATACTTCACTACATCCTGTCCAACTGCAGAGAAGGCAAATGCTCACACCACTGTCCCTAAGAAGTGAATACTCTCTGTTTAAATAAAATGTTATTTTAGTTAAAATAACTTCCAGAAGAGAAGGCACCAGGGAGTTTGGGCTAACAAAAGTGAGAGAAGACTGCTGTGGATTATAACTGATACAGATCAGTGACAACTTTGCAGTCACCTTATAAGACAAAATTAAAGAATTTATGATTAGTGCCAGAATTATTCCAAATGTTTGAGTTCTTTCACTGAAGTTTGTTAAAGCCAAAGCATGACACTGTTTTTACTATTTTGTGTTTTGTCAAAATGTTTCTTATAAAGTTCCTCTGAGTGAACACTAATTGAAGAACAATTATTTAGATTTTTCTAAAAATGTAAGTGATTGAAGTTCAGGTTTCTTTCACTGGACTGTAATCCTTGGGCAATGGTCCAGAGTCAACAAGCATAGTTAACTAGGCATAAATTTAAAGAGAAGTTCCATTTGGAAAAACCTCAAATATAACTTCAAATATGGAACTCACGGTCCAATAAGTTTGATATACTGATGTCCTCAGGAGTAAAAAGTAAATTTGGGGGCAAAATGTACAAATTAATCATATGAGTTAATACTTGAAATGTCAGAGGAATTTCTATAAAAATTAGATGGGAGGATATTAAATATAGAAATGACTTGTAATTCATAAGATCCCCCTTTTTTAATATCATTAGTTTATTATAAAATTATGGAAATTGTTTACATGATAAAAGATTTCAGAACCTCAGTGGAATCAGCAGCTTCGCATGATTCTGTTTCAATAGTGGTTTAATTTGGTCTTCATCCTTACCAAGAACGTCACCAACTCAAGAAATAATCCTTGTCTTCGAGAACTACTTTGCTGCCTCAGTATTCTGGAAGAACTTTTATTTTCAACTTTCATACTAACTAGTTAAATCTCTTCACCCTTTCCTTTAGAACCCAATCCAAGAGCTACTACGGTTGCCTGCAATACTTTTCCCTGAGAATTTTCTGGAAGCATAATACCTTCTTTGGTTAAAGTTTGGGCTGTGCTCCTTTCAACAAACACTCAGTCAAAATGGGGAAGAACCTCTCTAAATGCCTCTCCTGTAGCCTCAGCCCGTACTCTGTTCTCTTGCCTTCCCCTCCAATCTTAATATAAATATCTTCTTACAGTCCTTACCATCTAGAATATTGTTATTTTTATCACCTAACTTTATGTTAGAAAATTTAAATGATTGTGGTAATTCTGTCATGAACTACATTTGTTTAGAGTTCTGCCATTCATTCAAACAAAGAAGTGTTGAGTGATTACTTCTTGCCAGAGAGTGCCTTAAGTGTGGGTATAGCATATCTGGGAGACCCAAACACCCCCCTCAGGGAGCTTCCAGTCAGATTAACTTTTTGAGGCCCTTCCTTACTTATGAATATATTTATTCAAAAATTACTAAACCTATAATTTATGTACATAATATGAACCTTTAAAATTAGTTTACCTGGATTTTCAAGTTATGTACTAAAATTGTATTGATTGAGCTACTCACTAAGTTTTATATTTTAAAAGAAACCTGAGCCAACTAATTTATCCTCAGACTGCAACAAGATCTAATATACTCAGTGTGGAAAGCTAGAGATAAAATATTAAATATTTCACCATCAGATACTTCCAAGTCCTATAATGATTATAAATAGTAGCTGAAAAGTCTTTAGTATGGCATCTTATTTTCAAATTTAATGATTTTTCAGAATTGATTTTGAATGATGAACACTTAATATATATAATCAGACTCTGTGAGTTTGACTGTAATTATCTGAGGGGAAAAAATGAGGCCCAAAGGGCTAAACCATACTTACTCTGAGGTTAGTAAACTAGTTATTGAAACGCCCTACCGAAATTCCACCTTCGCATCATGTACTATTTCACTGGAACTATGCAGATTATTTGAAGATAGAAAAGGACTCTTAGAACAGCAAAGAAGAAATGAATTCTTTTCCAGAAAAGTTACCATTTGTTCTGAGTACACTGTAACTTAGGTCAAGTATGTGGGCGTATGTACCTAAAGTTTATTTTCCTTTGAATTTGTAGCACATTGGAGTTGGTAAATCTTCATTACTCCCTTTTACTTTCAGTATTCTTTTCAGTTGAAAGACTTAAAACAACCACAAAAAGTGTCAGCTTCTATAGTTATTAGCTTTTGACTGGTTGAAAGACCAGGACTTTTAAAACAACATTAGCATGATTCTTTTCATGGTGTCACTGGCCCAGCAAAAAGGAAGTCATAGAAATTTAACAGAACACCATAATCATCGAGCCCCTCTGTTGCTGCTCCAAAAATAATAAATAATAGTAACCACTGAGGTGTTCAGCCCAAACAAGTTTTGAGTATCTTCAGATTAGCTTTGCTTTCATACTTAAGTATGTTTAACAGAAATGGCCGAAAGTGATCACCAGTGATTATTGTAAAGATTCAAGAGAATTCCTTATCAATAATTTTAAGATTAAAATTATTTTTGTATTTGCTCTGAAGAAACTCACATGCCATATGTTTTCAGGCCCCTTTTAAGGTCCTCTTCTGGATTTAGATCTTACAGAGTAGAAACGGTGCCATTTCCCAGCATGAGAGGGCGGGATGGGTGGGCAAATGCTGCCCTCTTCTGGCCATGGGCTGAGCAGGTGGAAAGATGGAAAAAGCTTCAAACATGGTGACAAGCATCCTTTGAAAAACGACTCTTCCAATGTTTTTAACAGGAGTGTGATCAAGTTCACATAGATGATGTTTCCTCTGATGATAATGGGCAAGACTTAAGGTAAGCCATGCCTTTCAGTATGCTCTTTCCTACAGAAATTCAGCTGTGAAGTTTTGCACATGTAATTATTTCTTTTATTTCTTTTTAATGTATTTTGGGTGTTGCAGTACCTACAGTTTTGCAACTGATGGCTTCCATGCAGCTGCAAGTAGTGCAAACCTTTGTTTGCCAACAGGTGTAAGAGGAGGGGTTGACTGGATGAGGAAGTTGGCTTTTCGTTACAGAAGAGTAAAAGAATTATACAACACCTACAAGAACAATGTGGGAGGTATGTGTGGCTTTTACAATTTAATAAAGGTACTGCAGATAGAGGTACAATTTAAACTGTAGTTTCAAGTTTCATATTAGGGACTATCCTTCTGTAAGATAAATTACTAAGAGCTCATGCTGGACGACAGTGAGCCAGAAATTTTAATTTCTTAGAGTTAGTGGGGGAAAAAAAATCTAACTGCAAAATAAAACGTGCAGCACTGTCAAAGGAATTGGGAATTCTTTGTGCCCAGATGTTTGGTCAAGATTAATTGCAGGGCAGAAATAGAGACACAGATGTAGAGAACAAACGTATGGACACCAAGGGGGGAAAGTGGGGTGGGGGGGATGAATTGGGAGATTGGGATTGACATGTATGCACTGATGTGTATAAAATGGATAACTAATAAGAACCTGCTGTATAAAAAAATAAATTAAATTAAATTTAAAAAAAAAGATTAATAGCAGGACATTTATTTTGCCCTTCCTCAGCTGGGACGCTCTCAGTGAAAACCAGACAAAGGAACTGATACAGGCTGTGGAAAGAAGATCTGTCTAAACACAAGAGCCCTAGTCAGTGAAGCAGAGTTGTTAGCAATCATTACCTTTCTGGAATGCTATCAAAAATAGATGCAAACTGCGCTTTATGTCATTTTGAAGACTTCAACAAGTTAACTTTATCCTGTCAAAAACTGCATATTATCTGACAGTATATCTTTGCCATGTATAGTGTTAACTATATCATGGTTTTTATAAATTCAAATACTCTGTAGGTAGTATCTAAACCATTTTGTACTCATTCATATATTACAGGTGATATCAAAACCTGTGACATCAAAACTTAGATCCTGTATGTGCTTCTTGGCACAATAAACCTTGATCGTCTTTATTATTAGGATCAGTTTTAGGGCAACAAGATCGTAGGATTAGTTATGAGGTCACTTAACATTCTTCTCTCAGGGCTTTTTGTTTGTTTCTCTTTTTAAAGAAAAGAGGGATGGTTGAGGAGTATAAACCAGAATCTAAAATTGAAATAAGACAGCTAAATATATATTTTGCATGCTATACATGTGTATATTTACATATATGTCATAGAATACAATATAGTAAATAAAGTTTTCATCTATAAGGTATATACTACACCATACACATCTTAAGGTTGGCTGTGTGTCTATTGGCCTTGTATCCCAGTGCCTAGCTAGCTTGAAGCACATAATAGATGCTCAATAGATGTTCAGTAACTACAAGAGAACCAAAACATGTAGAACCATAGACAGTAATAATGTTAGAACCAAACCGGAGCTTAGATATGGAAGATCTTTATTTCCAAATGAGAAATAGTCTCCTGCAGGCTACTAACCTGCCCATGCGTTTAGGCAGGCAACTTAGGTTTCCTAATTCACTCTAACACTCTATACAAGACACTTCTGTAAAATCAAATAAATAGGTATTCTATTTAAAAGCAGTTGAGGGTAATAACTTTAACTTTAAGATAAATATCCCTTTGGGGAATCTGAATTAATTTTTATCATTCAGGCATGTCATTATTTCCCTCTTAAAGGGTATTATTAAAATAATTTTAAAATTAACAAGATTACTAGTAAATAATTGTATAGCTTAAAAAGTTTAAACAATGAGATATTAATCCATTTTTTGTGATATGTTAACATCTCTTTATTGAAATAATGACAAATGAGGCTCAGTAGAAACTATAAATTTTGGTTTAAAAATTTGTCCACCAAGGACTCTCCTGGTGGCGTAGTGGTTAAGAATCCGCCTGCCAATGTAGGGGACATGGTTTCGAGCCCTGGTCTGGGAAGATCCCACATGCCGTGGAGCAACTAAGCCCGTACGCCACAACTACTGAGCCTACAATCTAGAGCCCGCAAGTCACAACTACTGAAGCTCGCATGCCACAACTACTGAATCCCGCGTGCCACAACTACTGAAGCCCTCGCTCCTAGATCCCATGCTCCACAGCAAGAGAAGTCACCGCAATGAGAAGCCTGTTCACCACAATAAACAGTAGCCCCCACTCGCCACAACTAGAGAAAAGCCCGTGCACAGCAACGAAGACCCAACAGAGCCAAAAATTAATTAATTTATTTTTTTTTTTTAAAAAAGTTATCCGCCTATAAATGAACTCTTAATATTCTGAAATATGATTTAACTAAGGAACTTTATTTTTTAATAGATTTACATGATCTTGTTTCCTCATGAAAGCAACAGGTTTTTCAATAAAATTAGTATGCCTACTTCTTTTCTTATCCTAACATCAATGTAGTTTTCAACCATCGTCTATAGCTGTATCATAGGCTTCAGGATTTTAAACAAAATTCTTAATTCCTTTGTACAAAACAACATATTTCTGACAGCTTTAGCACTAGTATTAGAAACAAATTCTAGAAAACTCTATAGCTGTATGCGATAATGTCATTATTACTGTTTCCAAGTGGTAATGGTTGTGATTATTAAGAAACTAAACATTTTCAGACAACCAAAATATTTGAGGTTTGTATCCCTAGGCTGGTAGACCCCTACTTCTTCTCCAGACCTATCCTGTCAGTCTTCTGGAGTAGTTGTCAAAGCTCCTCAGGTGATTGGCATCCACCATGCCGGATTCTAGGATCAGTGAGGGCAGAGACTGGGACCCACTCTTTCACTGTTATATCCCTAATTTTTAGCCCAGAATGTGATGTGCAGAAGTTGTTCAATAAATGTTTGTGGAATGAATGAATCAGTGGATAATCAATTCTGAAATGGAAGATCAGGGTTGATATCAATCTCTCTCTTTTTGATATAGGTGGGAATAAAAATCATCTGGAGCAGACAGAAGGAAGACCAAACTAGGCATCCCAGAAAAATGTTCATCTCTTGACACTGCCCTACTTTTCTGTGTTGCAGGACTTCTTGGCCCTGCCAAGAGAGATGCGTGGCTGCAGTTGAGGGCTGAGATTGAAGGTCTGACGGACTCCTGGCTAACAAATGCACTTAAATCTTTATCAATTATTAGTACTAGGTAAGCGGTATTGTTGCAGTTTCTATATTTATTGTATTGAAGATGTAGTTCTAATAGCATAGCATATATCAAAATGTTTTAATTCCCAGATTTGTTTTAGAGTTTGAAGGGACCTAAAATTCACTGTGTGTGTGTGTGTGTGTGTGTGTGTGTCTGTGTGTGTGTGTGT